GATAGCCATTCACAGAACTGTCTCCAGACTCTTTTTTTTTTTCTCCCTACCACTGATGGGACAACAACGAACTATACCTGCATGCTGAAAGACTTCCTGAAACTGTATTGCATTTGAACTTGGGACACTTTGTGGGTTTTCTTGTTTTGTATTGTGTTGTTTTGTTTTTTTTCCCTTTGATGAGACAACAACAGAACTATTTCTGAGAAACCATCTCCAGGATTGGAGGCTGAGGGACGAACACCAAAATTATTAAGACTGAATGTAATTGCATTTGAACTTGGAGATTTTTATTTTATTTTCATTTATTATATTTTTAATTTTTTTTATTTTTATTTTCAATTATCTCTCTGTCGTTCTAATGCCTGTTTGAGTTACTGTTGATTAGTACACTATCTCTCCCTGTTATATATTTGAAACTTTTCTTGTTCTGTTTTGTTTTTTTCTATTTGTTTATTTGTTTTTCCCTTTTTCTTTAACTTTTTTGATTTCCATCTCCTCTCATCCTTCCATTTTAAATATCACCATTGTTATTATTACAAGCTAGAAAATACTTAATTGCACACAGTACAGGGACAATAACAACACCAAGGGCAATGACGGGAAGACAGAAACAGGGAAACCAGTTTCCCCACAGCAAAAAATTAGTACAGGAACCAGAGGGAAATGAAGAAAACAGATACTCAGACCCAGACTCCAACAAAACAAAGATAAACTATGCCAAAGAACCCAATGAAGCCACAAGAATAATCTTAAAAGAAGAATACTACAGGTACTCAATGAGAATTTTATAGAGATGATACTGGATACGGTCAACCAAAACGTACAGGAGACACTCAAGAAATTCCAAGACAACAAAAATAGAGAATTTGAAAAAGCAAAAGAAGAAATAAAGTAAACCATAGAAGCACTGTATAAACACCAAAGTGAAACAAAGAACATGATTAATAAACAGATAAATGAACTCAGGACAAAAATAAACAACATGAAAGAGGAACAGACTCAAGATATGGAAAACCGCAGAAAAAAGATGAAACAGAATTGCAAAACAAAATGGAAGGCCAATCCAGCAGAATAGAACAAACAGAAGACAGAATCTCAGAACACAAAATGAAATGGTAATTAAAGAAAAAACCAAAGAACTATTAATTAAACAACTCAAGACCTGTGAAAAGAAAATGCAAGAACTCACTGACTCCATCAAAAGACCAAACCTGAGAATCATGGGCATTGAAGAAGGAGAAGAGGTGCAAGCAAGGGAATGCATAATATATTCAACAAAATAATAACAGAAAATTTCCCAAATCTAGAGAAATCTATTCCCATACAGATGCAAGAGGCCTCCAGAACACCAAACAGACCAGATCAAAATAGAACTACCCCATGCATATCATCATTAAAACAACAAGTTCAGAAACTAGAGAAAGAATATTGAAGGCTGTAAGAGAGAAAAAACAAATAACATACAAAGGTAAACCCATCAAAATCACAGCAGACTTCTCAACAGAAACATTAAAAGCAAGAAGAGCTTGGGGTGAGATCTTCCAGGCACTGAATGAAAATAACTTCAACCCCAGGATACTCTACCCAGCAAAACTATCATTCAAAATAGATGGAGCAATAAAAGTCTTCCATGATAAGCAGAAACTAAAACAATATGTGACCACAAAGCCACCACTACAAAAGATTCTTCAAGGGATTCTGCACACAGAAAGTGAAACCCAACATAACCATGAAAGGAAAGGCAGCACCAAACTACAGGAAAAGAAAAAGCAAGAAAGTAGAGAGTAACCTCAACTTAGGTACACACAATCAAACCTTCAAACAACTAAGACAACTAAATGACAGGAATCACCACATACCTATCAGTACTAACACTTAATGTTAATGGACTTAATTCACCCATCAAAAGGCACCATTGACGAAATGGATTAAAAAGGAAGATCCAACAATTTGTTGCTTACAGGAGACCCATCTCACCGACAGAAATAAGCATAGGCTTAGGATGAAAGGCTGGAAGAAGATTTACCAAGCCAATGGCCCCGAAAACAGGCAGGAGTAGCAATACTTATCTCTGACAAAGTAGACTTCAAACCTACATTGATCAAATGAGATAAAGAAGGACATTCCATACTAATAAAAGGGGAAATAGACCAAAAGGAAATAACAATTATCAACCTATATGCACCCAATGTCAACGCACCCAATTTCATCAAACATACCCTGAAGGACCTAAAAGCATATATTAACTCCAACACAGTGGTTGTGGGAGAATTTAACATGCCATTATCATCAATAGATAGGTCATCCAAACAAAAAATCAATAAAGAAATCCAAGATCTAAAATATACATAGATCAAATGGACCTAGTTGATGTCTACAGAACATTTCATCCAACTTCTACACAATATACATTCTTCTCAGCAGCCCATGGAACCTTCTCCAAAATAGATCATATCCTAGGGCACAAACAAGCCTCAGCAAATATAAGAAAATAGAAATTATACCATGCATTCTATCTGATCACAATGCAATAAAACTAGAACTCAACAACAAAAGTAAAGACAAAAAACATGCAAACAGCTGGAAACTGAATAACTCATTACTTAATGAACAATGGGTCATTGATGAAATAAAAGAGGAAATTAAAAGTTCCTGGAAGTCAATGAAAATGAAAACACAACCTACCGAACCTATGGGACACAGCAAGGCAGTCCTGAGAGGAAAGTTTATAGCCATGAGTGCATATATTAAAAAGACTGAAAGATCCCAAATCAATGACCTAATGATACATCTCAAACTCCTAGAAAAACAAGAACAAGCAAATCCCAAAACAAATAGAAGGAGAGAAATAATAAAAATAAGAGCTGAAATCAATGAAATAGAAACCAAAAAAACCATACAAAGAATTAATGAAACAAAAAGTTGGTTCTTTGAAAAAATAAACAAGATCGACAGACCCCTGGCAAACCTGACTAAAATGAGGAGAGAAAAAACCCAAATTAGTAGAATCAGGAATGCAAAAGGGGAGATAACAACAAACACCATGGAAGTCCAGGAAATCATCAGAGACTACTTTGAGAACCTATATTCAAATAAATTTGAAAATCTTAAAGAAATGGACAGATTTCTAGATACATATGATCATCCAAAACTGAACCAAGAGGAAATTAATCACCTGAATAGATCTATAACACAAAATGAAATTGAAGCAGCAATCAAGAGTCTCCCCAAAAAGAAAAGTCCAGGACCTGATGGATTCTCTGCTGAATTCTATCAGACCTTTAAAGAAAAACTTATACCAACCCTCCTTAAACTGTTCCATGAAATAGAAAGTGAAGGAAAACTGCCTAACACATTTTATGAAGCCAGTATTACACTTATCCCAAAACCAGGCAAAGACACCTCCAAAAAGGAGAACTATAGGCCAATCTCCTTAATGAACATTGATGCAAAAATCCTCAACAAAATAATGGCAAACCGAATTCAACAACACATCAAAAAGATCATTCACCACGACCAAGTAGGCTTCATCCCAGGAATGCAGGGGTGGTTCAACATACGAAAATCAATAAATGTAATAAACCACATTAACAGAAGCAAAGACAAAAACCACTTGATCATCTCAATAGATGCAGAAAAAGCCTTTGATAAGATCCAACACCATTTCATGATAAAAGCTCTAAGAAAACTAGGAATAGAAGGAAAGTACCTCAACATTATAAAAGCTATATATGACAAACCTACAGCCAGCATTATACTTAACGGAGAAAAACTGAAACCATTCCCTCTAAAATCAGGAACCAGACAAGGATGCCCACTATCTCCACTCCTATTCAACATAGTACTGGAATTCCTCGGCAGAGAAATTAGGCAAGAAGAAGGAATAAAAGGAATACAAATAGGTAAAGAAACTGTCAAAATATCCCTATTTGCAGACAACATGATCCTATACCTTAAAGACCCAAAAACATCTACTCAAAAGCTCCTAGACACCATCAATAGCTATAGCAAGGTAGCAGGATATAAAATCAACATAGAAAAATCATTAGCATTTCTATACACTAATAATGAACAAACTGAGAAAGAATGTATGAAAACAATTCCATTTACAATAGCCTCAAAAAAAGTCAAATACCTAGGTGTAAACCTAACAAAGGATGTGAAAGACCTCTACAAGGAAAACTATAAACTTCTGAAGAAAGAGACTGATGAAGACTATAGAAAGTGCAGTAATCGCCAATGCTCATGGATTGGTAGAATCATCATAGTAAAAATGTCTACACTCTCAAAAGTAATCTACACCCTGGTGTGGTGGCTCAAGTGTTAAGAACGCTTGCCTACCAAGTTTGAGACCCTGAGTTCAAAACCCAGTGCCACACACACACATACATAACAGAAATAAAATCACCATAATACAATCAGTAATGTAAGAAATTCTCAAATCTTTAAGTCAACTAATACAATATAGGAAAAATATTCCACAAAGAAAACAAAGAGAAAAAACCAGGTATTCTGCAACATTTTCCAGGGACTCCACATTCAGAAGGTTACACACCTGCTAAGATGAGGGTGAGACACCACCCGTGGTCATCAAAAGGATTCATACACTACCGGATTAGGGGCTTGCGTGATTCTGCACGCCCACATCAAGGCCAGATACACAAAGCCTTTCCTCCATTTGGGAGAATCCAAAAGTGTCTTCTCTCCACTTTCTCAATTGGCACAGATCACACTCTGATGACACTATCTCAGTATTTGGGAAAAAAGAGCTGGAATGCCCACTTTTACCCCAGAGCTTGTAATCCTGGTAAACAGGGCTGACTAAAGAAGTCCGGGACTTTCTGCTGTGGAGCAGCAGCCAAGAGAAAGCAAATGTCTTTCCCGTTCACTTACGGGACAGGTTCCCCCAACACACACACACACATTTTATTTGTTCTTTGCTGTACTAGGACTTGAACTCCGGGCTTCCTGAGAAAGCAAACCCTCCTCCGCCTCACCTTAGGGGGCTTGGGGACCCAGCACCTGAGGCTCCCCTACTGCAACACCGCATTCAAGTAGGGCCCTGTCTCCCGTCATCAGCTTTTCCTTTGTAAAATCAGGTCTAGAAACAGTGGAGGATCACAATTGTGACGTCACAGAGTGTCGCGGTGTCCCCTCCTCTATAACCACAGACACTCTACATAAGGATTCCAGGGAGTTTGGCCACAGGGGAAGGGCTTGGGACTAGGGGGTTCATGGCCTGCACTCACAAGCATGGACTGGGCAAAGGTTGCGGAGTTTAAATGATCCTTCCCAGACCCTGAACACTCAGGAAAACCAGGCGCCACTGAGGAGGGGACACGGGGACCACATCCACAGCGTCCCTGGAGCACCAGGCATGACCGCCCAAGAACACGTCACCTCGGAGTTGAGGACACCTGCGGCCGAGCTGCTCAGAAGGCTCAGGGCAGCCGCAATGGCCGCTCACATCACCAGGAGGACATATACGGTCATGAACCCCACCCTGTGGCGCAGAGGAGCAAGGTTCGAGCAGAGCCAGCAGGGAACGCACACCTGAGCCGCAGGAGGCCGGGTTCCCCGCTGTTTCCCGCCGATCCCCGCTAGTGCTCCGCGACTGCGGCCGAAAACTCACCATTTCCCGGCTTCTCAGTACTCCCGTCGTCTCTAGGCTTGTGCAGTCGGGGACACAGAACCATGAGACTAAGACACTGGGACTTCCATCACCTAAGGAACGATTTCAGGTTTAGCCACACCGGACACAGCGATGGCGCTTGCGCAGTGAATTTCTCCATCGATCCTCACTCCTCATTGGACAGCTCCCAGAACTCCTGTCCTGATTGGCTAATGCCCCTCACCCTCAAGCCTGAGTGACAGATGTGTCCACTACTTCCCCTTCAGAGCCCAAATGACAGATTCCACTCACAGTTCCCGCAGTCCAGGTTTCCTTCCCTCGGGTGAACCTGGCCCAGCCTCGGGTGCAGTTGAATTTAACCAGCAGTCTGCACTTTCCAGACCAGGCTCCTGCTTCTTACCACGCCAGGTAACCATCTCATGCTACCAACTGACGTCACTTCTTTTATTAAGTTAGTGGAGCTGGAGGCGGTGTTGAACTGGTCCACACCTGCCTAGCAAGCTCCCGGCCTGAGTTTAAACCCCTTCCTGAAAACACAAAAATAAAAGTGTGTGCTATTATAAACGTATTGAATGGGCCACATGGGGCCTCATAGCTCAGACGCAGGTGTAAAACACGGTGGACCCAAATGGAAGATCCTGCTGTGGGTTGCAAATACCCTGAGATTCGCTCTCCCCAGCACACAGTTCCCGAACCGAGGAACCCCAATCCTGATGGGTGAATGGTCTGGGACCCTCCCTCTGAGGCTCAAGTGAAGACAAAACCATGAACTATCTGGCTGAGAGGAACCAAAATCAGATTCTGACCACAGCCATTCCCAACCCAGTCGTCCACCACTGGGGACCTGGCCTAGCTGGGAGATGAATACATTTAGCAGAACTTGTCCTGGATCTCCAGACCAGGCACCTGCTTCTTACCATACTCAGTGCTTCTCCTTCTTCTCAAAATGGGATCACAATATCCTTATGACATTCCACACACAGTGTCCCAGTTGACATTCCAGAATTACAGAGAAGGTGAGTGCCTAGAGGAGGCCAGGCCCACTGAAACAGGAAGAGGACGTGATGTCACACATCAGGAATATGGAATGAGGCACATGACCAATGATTTCTCAACCTTCTCTGTCAATCTATCCATTTTCACCCAAAAAAATAAACTCACTAATTAGGGAATACACTCTTCAATGCATGCAAAAATAGAGTAATATGGCAGGAATATTCTACAAGTAATAAAGAAGAAACAGAAAGCAAAACTTTGAACTACTCAGACAGCAGGCTGCTTAAACCAAGGTCACAACAAAACGCACAAGCACAGGTTAAACACATACCCAAGCTGCAGGGCCACACTGACTGCTGACAGCCCAAGAGTGAATCACTCTATAGTTATTAGGAAGGGACACATAAGGGTTTCACTGAGGAAGTCCATCATCCCCTGCTGGCTCTAATTCCAGTGTGAAAACTGTTTGCACATCTTAAGGGACTTTCTCACCTGGGTCACTTTTGAGGTGAGAATAAACTGTAATGCAGAAACTCTTTCTAGTGATTATCTGAATGCATCTTTGGTTGAGTGCCACAGATTTTCCTCATATGTACATGTTACATGTTGACACCAGCAACTCTATTCATACAGAAACAGATACACCATTCAGAAAATATCACGAAAAACAGACACCACCTGAAAATGGACCACAGCCCCGATCACAACCACACCTGGCCCTCCTATTTTCCTCCTCCTCCTCTGCAGCTTCTCAGTGAGCACCATGTAGCTGTTTTTTTTACAGCGGGAGCCCACATGCAGGGGAGAAAAGATGTCCAGGAAGCACCATGGCTCAAGAAAGACCTCAAATTCGAGTCACTCACCTCCACGCTCTTCTCCCTCTTGGTTACTGAGTAGTGTCACTCCAACATTGAGGAGGCAAATGAGACAAAGATGCTGAAACCAAATCTTTGAATTAGACACCATGAGAGTTCCTGCTTTCATTGTACATTGACTTATAATGTAGATAAGGAAGACTCCAAGATACTTTATATGGATTTTAAATTGCCACATAAGCAATCCTTCAGATTGGGAAGATTCCAGCACACTGTTCACCTCATGTGAACACACTGCCATGGAGCAGGGCTATTCCTGATTTATTGTTATTTTGGTTTTGTGGAGTACTGGGAATTGAGTGAGGGCCTGGTGCTTACTCAGCAAATCCTGTATCACTTGACGTACACCTCAGCCCTTTTTATTTTGAAATAGAGTCTTGCTCTGTACCCCAGGCTTCTAGTGAACTCAAAATTCTCCTGCCTTGGTCGCCTAAGTGCTGTGATTGCAGAGCTGTGCACCAGCGACAACCAACTGAAATCCTAAATTCTTGTGGCGCCGATATCAGGAGTTGGAGGCCAGAATGGGCAAATACTTTGTGAGACCCCATCTCCAAAACAACCAGAGAAAAATGGACTGGAGATGTAGCACAAGTGATTGACCTCATACCTTCAAGCATGAAGCCCTGAGTCAAATTATATTCCACCAGATTCCAGCCCCAAAAAAGTATCCTAAGAGGTAATAGAAATTATTTAGGTTTTTTTTCTTTGGGGCAGTACTGGGGTTTGTTTTCTGCATGAGTGCCATCACCAGAATCCTGATCGCCAAGAGGTCTTGTTGCTAGTGGAGGCTGTAGAGGGCACGTGTGGACTTGGGTAGACACAGCAAAGGTCGGGAATGGTGAGGATTAATTCCCTGAATGGAGATTGTGGTAGGATTTGCAACTGACTTTGTAGGTGAAATCGTGTCACATATGTCCTACCCATCAGACTTCTGACAGCACACAAGATCTCTCTAGACGTACAACCAGTCCTCTCCCTCTCCAGACATGAAGTACATGCCCAAAATTTCCAGTGAATTCTGACACTACCTGGACTCCACAGGTATAATGGCTCACTCCCCCAAGAGAGCCCACAGATCAGATGCCAAAGAAGTGGGTGTACAAGATTCCCTCATTCCTGCTCAACATGGGTACTGTGTCAACTTCCCAGAATCTCCTTCCCTTCATATTTGTTAATATCCTAAAATGACTCACAGGAATGAGTAACAGTAAGTTTCCTAACTATTTCCAACTTATGATAAAATTTGCATTCCAGGAACAAATAAATGTAACTGCACAAGACAATGGATGGTGAAGGTGATATGGGGACCTTCCATGGCCTGTGTGGACACAACCTTCCTGTTTTCCCCAACCCCGATGTTCCCCTGAGCCCATCATGTTGGGTTTTCATCCAGGTTTTGGCTATATTAACGTGGTTAATGAGCTCAGTGGCCAGTAATGATTAACTCAGTCTCCAGCCTCTTTCTAACCAGAAGTTTCTTGGGCATGGTAGGACATTTGAATTCTCTCAAATATTTATTTATTTATTGAGTGATTGATTGCCATACTGGGGCTTGAACTCAGAGTCTTCACCTTAAGCCATCTCACCAACCCTATTTTTATGAAGGATTTTTCAAGATAGGGTTTCGTGAACTATTTGCACGGTCTGGCTTTGAACCAGAGATCCTCCTAATCTCTGCCTCCAGAGTAGCTAGGATTACAGGAATGAGCCAACAGCACTCAGCCAATCCTGACAATTATTTACAAAACTATGTAAGTTGTAAAATCTCCTTCCTTTAGCCCAACTTTGTTCTTTCTGGCCACCTGATCTTTCCCTATCTTGAAGCTAACTAGGGCTCCCCAGCCACCAGTGATCTCATTAATGAGAAATGGACAGTCTTTTCACTCCAGAGGTCTTAGAAGTTCTTGGATTGAATACACTAGACCAAGACCTCCCAAATTGCATTTGTTTGTGTGTGTGTGTATGTGTGTGTGTCCTCAGCAGGTGGTGTGACAGACTATAGATTGTAGCAGAAATGAATGTCCTGTCTCAGGTGTGAGCCACTTACACCTTGCTCAAGAATAATGTAAATGGCAGAGTGAGGAAGCCTCAGGAGTGGTCATCCTGGGCTGTCTTAGACTGGTGTGGATAAGGCAAGGTGTTTCTCTGATGCTTAGGATTGACTATAGGGATAAGTGCATGGATGTTGTTGATGAGGGAGGAATGGAGAGAGTTTCAAACATGTAAAGAGAAAGGAAGCCTTGTGGTAATTCCCGCCTGATTTCTTCCTCTCAGGTAAAAGCCCTATACCTAAAACATGAATATTGGTCACACCTCATGCAATGCAAGTAAAATATCTGAGAGCTAGCACAGGTGCATGTGAAGAGTACCCCGACTCTGTTACTCGAAGCTGTTGTTCACCCTAGCCCATCCTGCAATGACCACCAGACTCCACACCTCCTTTAATATTCAATTTATAAAAAAAAAAAAAAACTTTCAAAAAAAGGTACTCACTTCTATTCCACCTGGCTGGGGCCCATGGCTCTTTCTTTTACAGTGCCTTCTTCTTCCCTGCAATAAATTTTATCATTTTCAGTACATCTCATGTACTACCCGAATTTTTGTGCCTGAAATTGTCTGGACAAGGGTCTCCTTAGATCACCATCCAGTAACAAGTAGCACTTAAAATCATCAGGTGATGCTTGCTTGGTGGGCTACTAAGATACTAACAGAGGCTGGTAAGAGTTGGAAACTTGAATGACAATGTTTTAACTCAGAGACTTTGAAGAGTTCCCCATACAGGTACACTGTGGATTTCCTCATCACCCATGCCTAACCACTACTTAACTAAAGGAAGCACAAAGGGTGCCAGTTTCCCCTCCCATCCTTCTCCAACGACCATGCAGTGTTGTTGGGGTAGAAGGGATCCGGGATTCCTGTCAGGTTGTAGCCTGGGGTCCCAATCAAAGATTTAGTCCCAGAAACAAAAGGTGAGGAGCAAAGCAGCAAGCTTTATTGAAAGCAGAAAGTAAAATAACACCATAAAAGGAAAAGGCAGGCTTCAGCCAAGCACCTCAAGAGTCCAGGTCTCTGGTTTCTATTCAGAAAAATGTGGTTTGGGTTTCGGTTGGGGGAGAAGAAAACCTTGGGTTCTTTGCATGTAGGGTAGGATGATTGGCAGTTCTTCTTAACAGCCAGATGTTATAAAACTTTTTGGACTACAAATATACCTACTAATAATTCATTGGTAAAACTGTAATGAGATCCAAGTAATATTTACTAAGTCTTAAGTAGGGTAAAACCCCTGAAAGGTTAAAGAAGGTGACAGGTGGACCACACTGAGCAGACCTTCAGAACACATTGTAACGGATTATTCCCCCTTCCCACCTGTGCAGGATGCAAGGAACCAAAGGAACTATAGTGTTAATGTTTGCCAGGCATTTTCAGGGCTCTCTGGGGGAGGTTCAGATCTTATCTCTCTCAGTTAGTCTTTACATCATGCTGTATGTTTTGGATCTGTTCATCACCAAGTCTACCTTTTCTGACCCCAAAAAACACAAAGTACTGCCTTTAAATGACAAATGCGCAATAATTTTTACATTGACAAGTTTTCTATGTTTGTGTTTATGTGTGTGTGTGACTGGAGTTTGAACTTAGGACTTGGTGCTTGCAAAGCAGATGCTGTACTTGAACCATACCTCCAGTCCATTTTGCTCTGCTTATTTTGGAGATGGGGTCTTGCAGACCATTTCACTGGGCTGGCATCAAACTGAGATCCTCCAGATGTCAGCCTGCCAAGTAGCAATGATTACAGGTGTGAGTCACTGGTGCCCTGCTACATTAGCAAGGTTTGGATCCCGAATGCATTATTACTTGTTGCCTGAAAAGAGACTCTGCAAAATCCCTGTACTCAGGATTTCCCACCATAGTACATACACAACTTTATGTTCTTGAGTTGAACCAGGCTGACACGAGGCATTCCCATGTAAATTACATTGAAGTTACTTCCCTTGCCTACATGTTATCATATTTGCTGGAAAGATCAGGCGATAAAAAGGCCTTTCCACATTCTGTATTTAGGAATTACCTCCAGAGTGAGTCTACCAATGTCTCTTAAAGGAACAAAGACAAATGAAGGACCTTCCACATTTCTTGCATACATAGGGTTTCTCCCCAGTGTGGATTCTTCCATGTATTTCAATGTAACTAAGACATTTAAGTGCTTTCCCACAGCACTTACATACCTAAGGGGTCTCCCCAGTATGAATAATTTTATGTTTTCTAAGGTGAGTGTCACAAATGAAAACCTTTCCACAATGCATACACATATAGGGTTATTTTCACTGTAAGTTAGTTCATTCTTTCTTAGAGAACTGGAACAAGCAAAAGCTTTTCAACATTGCTTACACCTATAGGGTTTCTCTCCACTCTGCATCATTTTGTGATATCAAAGGGAACTGGAATCAATGAAAGCTTTCCCACAAGACTTACATACAAGGGGTTTCTCCCGTGTGGACCCTTTCATATATCACAAGGGAACTAGAATGAGCAAAGGTTTTTCCACAATGCTTACATGCACAGGCTTTCTCTCCATTGTGAAGACACTCATGCCTTTGGAAGGAACTAGGAACTAGAAGAAATGAAACCCTTCCCATAGTGCTTACATTTCCGTGGTTTCTCTCCAGTGAGCGCCAGGTCATGGTTCTGATGGTACTTGGGAGAATGGAAGGCTTCCCCATGTTTCTGGTCATTTTCAATGCCATGCTATTATTATCAGTGCCTCTCTTTCATGAGCACAATTAGTAGTTTGTGTCTTGTTTTTTGTTAAACTTGTCTTGCCTCATCAGATCTTTTGAGTAAAGAATCTTTTTGTTCTATTGACTTTCTGTCTGTGATGTTTTTGTCATCTTAACAAATCATTATTTCTCTCTACTTGTTGTAGCATTGTCTGCTGCTTCTTTCAGTTTCCCTAAAGTAGAATGTTTTAGGTTTTCCTTCTTTTCTAGCATACCGGTTTCTTTCCTCACATATGTCACTAGCACTGTGTTCTCTGAATCCTCTGAATTTTGAGAAAATCTGTGCTCATTTTTATGTAGTCTCAGTGATATTTTTCCTCTGGCAAGAGTAGGTTTTGCCGTCAGGGCCCAGTGCTTCTCAGGTCAGTTGGCTTCCACTTAGCTGTTCTACGAGTATATAATAAATTACAAGGGGTTATCTCTTTGACATATGCATTATGTACAATTTTCTGCTTTAATCTCCAGTTGTTTGGAGGTTTTCCAACTATTCATTAAATTTTAGTATTGTCTGGGAGAATACTTTATGTGACTTCTATTCCTTTAGATTTTTCAAGGTGTATATTATAGCTGAGAGCATGGGTGTGTGTGGGGGGGGATGTGCCCCATGATCTTGAAAGCAACATGTATTCTTCAGCTGTTGAGTATGTTATACTGTAACACCAAATGACTCCATTTGATGTATGATGATGTTCTTTCCACTATATCATTGCTGATTCTGTCTTCATCTATCAATGCCTGACATTTGGGCATTGAGATCTCCAAATAGTGTTGCTCAACTTTAATGTTCAATTCTGTGTGTTTTTGAGTCATGTAATTTGTTCCCTGTTTACATGAATACATGTTAGAGATTGTTGTGTCTTCTTGGAGAACTGCCTGCTTTATCATTATTGCATCTCTGTATTCCTTCTATTTTTCATGAGCTACTACTTCCTGATTGGGCTGGAATTATACCTTCTCCAAGTTTGAGTTGTTAGAAGTCTATCTCTCTGCATAACTTCATATGTCAAATATTTTTGCCATTATTTTTATTAAAAATATTTACATACCAATCAACTTGTAATAAAGGCATAAATTAAATATGATTTTTTAAAAAATGTATACATTACAGAGTGATGCAATTAGGTTCTTCACCAAATACACTACTTCTGATACCTATAATTTCATTGTGATTAGAATAGCTATATTGTAGCAGAACCTCAGTGGCTCACATATACACTCCTAGCTACTCAGGAAGCTTGGAGATCGGCAGTCTTGTGGTTCAACCACATTCCAGACAAATGGTTCATGAGATATTATCTCATAACAAACTCCATCACTAAAAGGGGCTGCTGAAGGGGCTCAAGGTGCAGGCCCTGAGTTCAAACCCCAGTACCTCAAAAAAAAAATGAATACCTACATACAAATCCTATGGTTATGTTCTGACATATCAGTAGTACATTGTTACTATTTGTAGACACTATACTGTGCAATAGATCTGTTGAAGTTATAATTCTTATGCAAACGAATAGGCATATGTATGTAATCGATGTGGGAAAATCTTCTTTCCTTTGAGTAATATTCAATAACAGGAACCATTTCACAGTGGAGGGAAGCTTTTGTGTGTAAGCCATGTGGAAAACCCTCCAGTTCCTCCAGTTACAGGAAAATCCACAAAAAAATTCATATGGGATAGAAACCCTACATGTGTCAGCAATGTGACAAAGCCTTCTTCACTTTAAGCAATGCTTGAAGACATGCACAAACACACATTGAAAAGAAACCCTACATGAGCCTTGTGCAAATCTCTACTTTCATTAAGTGCCTTGCAAAGACTTGAACATTTACTGAGCAGAAACCCTATGTTTTGGGTTGAGTATGAAATGTCTCCCATAGACTCATGTGTTGAATGCTTGGTTCCCATTTGATGGTGTTAACATGTGAATTTGTAGAAACTGTATTTATAAAACTGTGATCCAAAATGAAAAATTCTTCTATTTGGGCTAGGCTGAAGGATTACATGTTCAAGGTTTGAAAGTCAGAGGCCCACCCAGGATACTGGCGTAAATCTTGTACAAAAACAAAATATTAATTAGATAAATAAATCTCCCATTTAAATTGTGTATGTCACACATTTGTCAAAGCATCTGAGAAAAGTAACCAATACACCTCTGGTGTACATAAAGTATGGAGGCATGCAGTCAAACCATTCATTTCCTTTTTATTTTTTCCGGTAAAACTAGGCTGCTTGAAGGCAGGGCTTCATGTTTGCAAACCACATGCTCTAAACCTTGACCCACACCTCCAGCCCATTTGGCTCTGGATATTTTCAAGATAGGGATGATAAGAATTGTTTGCTTAGGTTAGCTTCAAAGTGTGATCCTCCTAATATCAGCCTCCCAAATAGCTAGGCTTACAGACATGAGCCATACACACCATTCCCTATATCATGTATAAAGAACTCACATGGGTGACTAATCCTGATAAAGAATGTGGAAACTTCATTATCATGTGGGCTTCTAGCAAACATGAGTATGAACAGTGAGAAAGCTCATATCTTTATATCAACTAGGTAATGCACCTGGCAACAGAAAACACAAATGGTTTCAAATAAGTAAACATGAAGGAACATGTTCAAACAAATCTTCCAAAGATCACAAGTCATATCATGGTCTACAAAGAAAATTGTAAATGAACCAGAAAACAGTTCTGGAACTAATAATGCAATGTAGTAAGATGGAGCTTATCTTACAGAACTCCTTAATTTTGTCATATCTTTTATAAACAATGGAACTTGAAATGACATATTTGTGGCAAAAAGATATGGGAAGAAGTTGGTAGAGTGGCTCAAGTGGTAAAGCACCTGGTAGTATGAGCAAGGCCCTGAGTTCAACACCCAGGACCATCAATAAGAAACAAAGCAACAAAAGGATCCGAGACGGGAGGAGGAGTGAGGAAAGTAGGAACACATAAAGAGACAAATAATTTTCACTGTATATCAAAGACCTCTATACCACACCTAGAGGCCTTGAGGGTGTGGTTATGTCACACTTGTATTGGTCTGTGGCACAGAGAAGAGTCTGTGTCTGCACTCTGATTTGACCCATTAACATTTGAGTATTAGTAGCCTGACATTTGAAAAAAATATTCATGGTCTTATTATATACTATAAAAACTGGACTTGAAATAAAAACAGAAAACCCTTATATAACGTAGAGAAGGAAGGAGAGAGAAAAGGAGAGACATGAAGAAACAGTGTTCTCCATCCGTGAAAACCCAGGTAGGAAAAATGCTCAATTGCAGAGGTAATCATTAAAACACAGGATATAGTCATACAGAAATGCCCTGTGGCTCTACCTGGGCAAAAGGAAATGAACTGCATCTCTACCAGAGCTGTACGAACACACAATAAGTTCATCTAAACATGTCAGGCAGAATGACTCAGGATGTAAGTGCACATACCTATCTGCTAATTCCAGATTGGAAGAGAATTATAGCTTCTCCAGGTTTGAGATAGTGTTAGAATTTCTCTCCATAACTTCATATGTCACCTATTTTTGCCATTACTTTCATTTTACAAATATTTATATGCTAATCAAAAGGTAATGAATCATAACTTAGAACATGATGCTTTGAAAAATGAATACATTACACAGGGGTGAAATTAGGCTACTAATGGGATACACTGCCTTCCATACCTATAATTATTTCATTGTAATTAGAATACCTACATTGAAGCTGAGCATCAGTGGTTCACACTTTCATACTAGCTTCTCAGGAGGCAGAGATCAGGAGGATAATATTCAAAGTCAGCTCAGGCACATATTCTATATTGCTCATTAATAGCTTATAAGGAGTATTAGGATATGGGGACATTTTTTCTCTGTGTCACAGCACTGGGTTTGAACTCAGGCCCTCAGGCTTACTAGGCAGGCATTCTTACCACTTGAATCACTCCAACAGCCTTTTTGTAGGGTGTTTTTGAGACAAGGTCTCTATTTACCTGGGCTGGCTTCAAAAAGCAATTCTCCTGATCTCTGCCTCCTGAGTAACCAGGATTTACAGATGTGAGGGACTAGTACCAATCTTGCAAGTGATATTTTGAATACTTTGACTAGTATCTCTTCAAATACTCATGTCTTTAAGTGTAAAACGATTTCTCATGAAAACAACAGAATTGGTTCTTCTTTACTAATTAACTGTTATTACTGTTGTTTAATTGGTGTACAAATAATTTGCATCTTGATATAATTGACAGATTAATAAGTAGCACATTATAGCTGTTTATTTGAGGTACTGGGGTTTGAGCTGAGGGCTTCATGCTTGCTAAGCAGGTGTCTACCATTTGAACCATGTTTCCAACCCTTCTGTTTTTCATTGAAACACCTGGTGGCTGAAATTTACTGTGAGAACCTGGTAGAGATTTTGGAAGTGAAACTCCAAATGTATGAGATCCTCTAAACCTGAATTTCTTCTAGAATCTACCTCTCAAATTACTGGACACTTAAGACTTCAGCAGTTCATCAGCTGCAGTTCAACTGTTCCTTTCCTTGTTCTGCTTATGAGTTTCTGTTCCAGGAAGTTATGATTTCCTGGGTTGATTTCTTTATCTTGCCAGTCTGGGGACAGTTGCTTGCCTGTTGAACTTACTTTTTCAGGGCTTTTGTTTAAGTACCCCATGTATTTTTCCATTGTCATTTTATATAAATCAGCATTTCATAAAATTTCCTTGTCTCAAGTCCTGAATGGTTGGAACTATTTCCAAGTGGTTGCAGGGATCATTTACACCTATCAAAATTCAGATGAAGACACCACTGTGCTGCATCCACAGCAGGGAAGACCATAGAGTGTTCCCAAATCCTCTTCCCCTCACTTACCCCCATTCAAAATCAGTACTGGTTATTTGCATGGTGTTGTATCTTGAGTAAATTATGTTTTGGCCATTTCTCATAATTCCATTCATATAGCTTACTCTGTAAGCTAATACCTTTTGTGTGTGTGTGGAGTTTAAGCTCAGGGCTTCTAGACTGCAAAACAGTCTAGAGCCACACCTCCAGTTCATTTTGCTCTGGTTATATTCGAGACGTGGTCTGGCCAGCAATTTGCTTGGACTGGCTTCAAACCTCTACTCTCTGGATCTCAGCCTCTCAAGTTGCTAGCAGTACAGGGGTGAGCCACTGGTGCCTGGCTAACTAATACTTTTACACTGCATGTATTGCAGGTATTTTCATTCTACCTTGTTGTTGCCTTTACCTCCAGTAATTTTTAAACATTTTATTTCTCCATCCACGTGTTATCCTTAATTTTGTCCTAAGGAAGAAATTTTTATTACGTCCAAAATTGATTTGAGACTGCTTTCTGAAACTGTTTTAATTTTATCTTTCCCACCACAACTTATACTTTGTCTAAGGGTCAGGAGATAGATGAGAATACAATGCATGTGCCCATGTAAGAATTACTTCATCCCTGCCTTGTCTGTTCTTGAAATTTGTAGGTCTGGTGGCTCATGCATGTAATCTCTAGCAGTAGCTGTGGCTGCCTACGAAGCCTGAGGAAGTGAATTCAAACCCAGTGCCAGAAAAAGTTCCCCACTTCCCAAAATATTCTACAAGCTAATAATGAACAACACAGAACATGCGCCTGAGAAGCAGAACCTGCTCATTCTAGAGTCTGATGCATCACTCAAAATGGCTTTAAGAATGGAAATTTTCGTTGGGCTTCTGAGTCTTTCCTGGCTCACTGGGACACCTCAGAGGCTGCATGGCTACTTCCCAAAGGCTCCATCTCTCTTTGCACTGAAAAAGAGTTGAGGAGCATGGTGGTGTGAAAGAGGACAAAAACAAGGGCAGGATAAACTTTAACTTCTGAGCAAGACTAGGCAGTCATGCTAGAAAATTATACCTGTGAGAACCTGTTTTTGGTGGGACTAGGATATAAACTGAGGGCCTCAGGCTTGTTAGGCAGGCATTTCACCATCTACCACTTGAGGAACACTGCCAGCCTTTTTCTGTAATGGAATTTTTGAGATTATGTCACTTTAATTATTATTCTGTGCTACACTGGAAATGCTGTCCTCCTGATCTCTGCCTCCTGTGTAGCTAGGATTACTGCAGTGAGTCACCAGTGCCTCACATCTCTGAGCATTTTGTGGTTGTCTTTTCCTGTTACAACCAGATTTGTTTTAAATGACAACTTTGCTTTTTTTTTCTTAACATAAAAAGGTTTTCGTCTTGGATGTGTTCTTAAATGAAGCTAGTGAGGCTTTCTCACCACAACATACTATCTTATGTACTTCAACAGGGATGATAAGAAGTTTTCCCAAATTGTACATGGCAGCTACTTCCCTTTCCTAACCATTGTTGTATCTGCTTGAAAATTCATGTGATAATGGGGCCTTCCTACATTCTGTATTTAGGAACTCTATCCTATATGAGTCCACCCATGCCTCCTAAGGGAACCAGAATAACTGGAGAAGTTTCCATTGTTTGCATTTATATTTTCTCACCAGTGTATATTCACTCATGTCTTCAAAGGTTATTGTGCCAAATAATAGTTTGCCACATTGCTTGCATACAAAGAGCCTCTCTCCACTGTGACTTTGTTTCTGTATTCAAATGTCAGTTAAAGAAATGAAGGTTTTCCCACATTGCTTATGCAGATAGGACTTATGAACCTATGTTCACATTTTGAACTTAAGTCAGACAAGGAGGCTTTTCCCGACTGCTTACATACATCTCTCCAGTGTTGATTCTTTCATGTATTTTAGTGTAACTAGAAGTACTAAAGCATTCCCATACTGTTTAAATTTCTGTGGTTTATCTCTATCAGTAGTCCTTTTGTGTATCTAATGGGAAGTGTGACACCCTAAGGCATCATCAGGGTTTATTATCATAGAGTCTCTCAAGATTGAGAACCAGGGCAGTCTTCTGAAGGTAAATGAGAGACCTGGAGGATTGTGCACATTTCTTATGTTCATACAGGTTCTCTGCATTACTCTGGACACTCATCTCACTTGTGTCCTGTAAGGTTTCTCAGAAGTAGTCACTAATGGGTTCATAGGTGGCATACTGGACAATTATTGACATGCTCCCCTTACTCAGGCTTCCCTGTCTTGGTTGAACTTGGCCCAGCCTTGGGTATAATTGCATTCAGCTGAACCAGTCCAGATGTTCCACACCAGGCACCTGCTTCTTAGCATGTGTCTTGTCATTTTCTGCTGTCTTTTGAAATAACTACTTATTTGAAGCTTTTGGTTTAAGAGGAATTGTTCCAGTGGTAAAGTCTCTGTCTCAGGAAATAATGTGCTACCGTAAATGAACTGGGTAATAATTTTGTTAAATGGAATGAATTATGTTTTCCTCCTGCTGCTAGCCATGCTTGTATTGTTTGAGTCAAACATCCAGGACCAAATTGAATTATTCATCCCTTCTTTTATTTATTTGTTAACATATGTCAACTATACATATTTACTGGATTTCCACTTAAATTTTATCATGTGTTTACTGGTATACACTACTGTACACCAGTATGGTATGCTTTTACCATACAATCCCATAATGTTCTTTCATCCTGCCAATTACACTTTCTTCTCTCTCTCCTCTCCCTGCCTTTTAGATCAATAGGCTTCATTGTGCTGACTGCATGGATGTGTACAATGCACCCCTCATCCTCTCATCCTCTCATGGTATTGCCTTTTCTATCCCTTTCCCAGTGGATTCCACCTCAAAAAATCCCCCTGCACATTCATGTAAAAGTTCTAGATTATGCATATTATATAAAACATGGTATTTATCTGAGACTTGTTCATTTTGCTTAACATGAAGCTCTCTAACTCCATCCATTTTCCTGGAAATTACATAATTCCGCTTTTCTTTACACTACAGATATACAGTACATTTTCTATATTGGTATATTGGCTGTATGGCATGGAGGCTGAATCCATAGCTTGTCTATTGTCCATAGTACTGTTATAAACCAGGTATTATAATGTCTTCCTGTGTATGCCCAGGAAAGGTAGAGCAGGAGCAAGCACATAGCATTTCTATCATTACTGGGACTTTTTTGGTGTACTAGAGTTTGAATGCAGGATTCCTAGTTTGCTACAAAGACCTTCTACCACATTAGCCACTTCATAGGCCCTTCTCTCTTGTCAGGCTGGCACTGTTACCACATGGTCCACTCTTCCACCATTTAGAAATTATATTATACAAGCTCAAGCATTGAGTTTTAAGCAAAGAAACAGGATGATTATGTGTTCCATGTCTGGCATGGAAACAGTGCTAATTCAATCACATGCATAACAAACTTGTGCAACTAAGTGACTGTGCCCATGCAAGGAATTGACTCTTATTTTCTTTCTATGTTACTTGTTTCATGCCTTTCAAGGACACTCAACTGAAGTAGGCTTTCACACACAGGTAACATATATAGGTTTTGCTCCAGAGTGAGTTTGTATGTCTTCGAAGGTCACTGGAAGAATAGAAGGGTTTCTACATTGTTTACATTCATAAGGATTCACTCCAGTGTGAATTTGTTCATGTGCTTTGAAGTACCAGGATGAAGTAAAGGCATTTCCAAATTGCTTACATGCAAAAGTCTTCTCTTCAATGTGAATTCATGATGTGTTTGAGGCCACCGAAAGAACTAAATGTTTTCCACATTATTTATATATACATGGTTTCTCACCACTGCTTTTTCATGTTTCCTGAGGCCATTGAATCAATAGAAGGCTTTCTCACATTGTTTATATGCATAAGGTTTTGCTCCAATATGAATTCCTTCATGTAATTTCAAGTACCTGGAAGCACTAAAAGCTTTTCCACATTGCTAATTATACATAGGTTTCTTACCACAATGTCTGTGTTCATGTATCTTAAAGGCACTACATGAATAGAAGGCTTTCCCACATTGCTGACATGTAAAGGACTTCTCTCCATTGTGCATTTCTTTCATGTGTTTTGAGGTAACTGGTAGTACTAAAAGCTTCTTTACACTATTCACATACATGATTTTTCACCACTGTGAGTTTTTACATGTTTTTGGAGGATACTGGACCAATAAAAGGATTTTCCACATTGTTTACATGCATAAGGTTTTGCTCCTGTGTGAATTCCTTCATGTGTTTTGAGGTAACTGGAAGAACTAAAGGCTTTTCCACATTGCTTACATGCAAAGGGCTCCTCTCCAGTGTGCCTTCTTTCATGTGTTTTGAGGTAACTGGAAGAACTAAAAGCTTTTCCACACTGCTCACATACATAGAGTTTTTCACTACTGTGAGTTTTTACATGTATTAGGAGATCACTGGACCAATAGAAGGCTTTTTCACATTGTTTACATGCATAATGTTTTGCTCCCGTGTGAATTCTTTCATGTCTTTTGAGGGAACTGGAAAAAGTAAAGGCTTTTTCACATTGCTTACATGCAAAGAGCTTCTCTCCAGTGTGACTTCTTTCATGTGCTTTGAGGTAACAGGAAGAACTAAAAGCTTTTCCACATTGCTTACATGCAAAGGGCTTCTCTCCAGTGTGAGTTCTTTCATGTATTTTCAGGTAACTGGAAGAACTAAAAGCTTTTCCACACTGCTCACACACATAGGGTTTTTCACCACTGTGAGTTTTTACATGTCTCTCAAGTTTACTGGGTGAACAGAAGGCTTTTCCACATTGTTTACATGTATAATGTTTTGATCCAGTGTGACTTCTTTCATGTGTTTTGAGGTAACTGGAAGAACGAAAGGCTTTTCCACATTGCTTACATGCAAAGGGCTTCTCTCCAGTGTGAGTTCTTTCATGTGTTTTGACATAACTGGAAGAACTAAAGGCTTTTCCACATTGTTGGCATACATAGGGTTTCTCTGTACTGGAAGTTCTTTCATGTTTTTCAACACACAAATGTGAGATGGGTTTCTCACATGGCTTACAAACATAGGGTTGTTCTCTATCATGAGCCAGCTCATATATGCAAAGGCCACTTAAATGAAAGCAGGCTTTTCCAGACCACTTACATAGAAAGGGTGTCTCTCCAGGGTGACTTCTTTCATGCCATTTAAGAAATCTGGAGTCAGGAAAGGTTTCCCCATAATCCTTCCATTTAAGTGGCTTTTTTCCATATTCCTGATACTCATGTGGCTCAGGTCCATTCTCAGTTCTGAAGGGCAGAGTCAGTGATGGATGACTGATGAAGACTTCTGTACACACACAGTTGTCATTTGTTCCCACTTCAGTAGGAATATTATTGCTTATAATGAGATCTGGAGTATAGCTGAAGACGTCTCCAAACTGATTATCTTCTTTGTGTTTACAGAATCTCCCTACAATTTGACTTCTAGAAATAATGAGAAACACATTACTAAGCTGTATTTTTAAATATGGACCACGAGAAGTAACAGTTTTATGGCCTGAAAGAATTTCTGACAATGAGATGGTTCCAAGAAACATATTATCAAACCAGTGGTATTGTTACAGGTATCTATAGATTCCATCCCAGTATTTTGCAAACACTGACAATCTACTTTACATTTAAGTGCATTTGAGTATTGTTCATGGAAAAACTGTGAACAAAATCATTTAGATTTTGAAGTATGTGCATAATCCTACAAAGTTATACTGAAGATTATAGGCACCAATCCATATATACATATATTATATCCTAGTTTCTTTCATTCTCTCCACCAACATTCTTCCTCCCCCATTCCCTGTCTTAAAATATGTGAATAGGTTTTACTGTTCCATATAAATGCATGTACAGAAAGAACATAAAACACAGTGGGGAGAGTGGCTATGCTTCTATTCCTAGCTACTAGGGAGAACGAGAGTCAGAAGATTCAGGTTCAATGTCAACCATGGGAAATATTTCCTAAGACCCCATGCCCAACAAACCTAGAGCAAAAGAGACTAGAGGGATGCTGCAAGTGTTAGAATGTTTACCTTGCAGTTACAAGGGCACAGTACAAACCACAACTCCTTCTCCCCCACCAATAAAGGTAAAGCAACCATACCCAGCTTTGCCCTCTTCATTTACCCTCTCCTCTCTCACTACTGACCTCCCCTTCACATGATCTGTTTCACATTCCTTTCCTTCAGTGTTTAAGCTGCTTTCTGTTGTAAGTAAAAATTACCTTAGACTTCTTCTGGAATTTTTGTAAACCTCTTCAATGGTCTGATCTTCCCCTGTTTTTGCTTTGTTTTTTTTTAATGAAATAGAGACAGAAAAGAAAACATTTTGAAAAATATTACTATAGAAAATCTACAAGATTCTAAGTAGGTTTACGGTATAATATGCCAACCTGCTATGTTCACTCGATTTACGGTTTCCACATTCCAAATTATTCCAAAGCATTAAAGAGCAACAAACACTGGTTCTCCCATTGACTAAGGGAATGAAGTCATCCTTACCAACAGAGGCCAGGTTCCTGAAGGTTTCTACCATCACATCCTTGTACATCTTCTGTTGTGAAGGATCCAGCAAAGCCCACTCTTCCTGGGTGAACTTGACACACACATCATCAAAGGTCACAGATGCCTAAAATGTAACAAGTGTATTTCAAGGAGGAAGGTCAGACTGATAGAACTGAAGATCTAGACTTCAAGTGTTCACACAACGCTATGTTCTCAAAGTGTTCATTCTATGTCTTGGGCATTAAATACGTGCTCTTCATGCAAACCCACACTCATTCACACAGCACTTTTAATGTTAGCCTGAAAATAAATGTGAAAACAACAGCAGAACAAACTGAATGACTCCAATTCCTTGCTAAAGAGTGGGTCTATAATATCTGTCATAATGATGAACTGCAATTCACCTGGCACAAGACAATTAACATGACTAGGGGTGGTAAGTATGCCCTGAGTTCAAACTATACTCCCACAAGGGAAAAAAAAAAAAGAAAAACAAAAATCACTTGTCCTAAGACTATGTATTCTTAGAAATGTCTGAACACAAAGTTCAGTTGTGCCTGGAACTTTGGTGGCATGCACCTCATCAGCTAGACTTAAAGAGGAGCTGCGTGTTCCCAAACCGTTTCCATGATCAACATGCAATTTTTTTTCTGGTACTGGAGTTTGAACTCAGGCCCTATGCCTTAAGCCATTCCTCCAGTCATTTTTTTGAAAAGGGTTTTCCATGGGTCCCCTGAACTATTTGAGAAGCTGGCTTTTAATCATGATCCTCCTAATCCCTGCCTCCTTTTTTCTGGTGGTACTGGGGTTTGATTCAGGACTTTTTCCTTGTAAAGTAGCCTCTTTACCACTTGAGTCATACCCCCAATCCATTTAGCTCTGCTAATATTGGAGATGGGGGGGTCTCAAACCATTTGGCCTAGCTGTTTGGAAGCAGAAGCTCCCAATATCAAAGTCTTATGTAGCCAGAATTAAAGGAATGGGCCATTGTTTCCAAGCAGCCTCTTTTAAACAATGTAACTCTCCCTTTCTTCAATCAAACTGAGACTCTCTTATGTTGTTCAATTTAAATTATTCACTTCAAACTGTCTTCCAGAATTCACTCATGTTGTGGATGGAGGATAATGTTTTGATTCTCTTTTCCCTAACCTGTCACAATATGTGTTAATCGAAAACACACATGGAACATTCTATACTGACTGTCACCTTTGTAAATAGCAAGTGTCTCAACACAACACTTATATACCCACACTTAATGAGGCTGTGTGGAAATTAAAGCTAATCTCACTGCAGGGGGAAGATCATTATTTAAGGAGTAACAATTGATGAAACTACAGGTGACACTACTCAGAACAATTTCTTTCTTATGACTGAAATCTTCAAGAAAGCAACAAAGGTAATTGAAGTGGGAGTAAGAAGGCTTGCTGAGGATGGGGCACTTAAGCTGAGTACCAAAATAATGTATTAGTTTACATTAGCAGGGGATAGGATACAGAAAACATGGCAGAATAAGGAGTATGCTGAATTTGTTCCCCGTGAGAAAACATTTCACTGCTAGCCCCTCTCCCATGTGGGTATTTCAAGACTAGGAGTCTACTGAAGGGCTGTCATTTTCAGAAAAACAACTGGATGGTAAATTGTACTTAATTTTAGTCAGTTTCAACTCAGCACAGTACCAATGACAGAATGCTGCACTTCCTTTGCAAAAACCAATTGCATGAGTTTGAGAAAGCACTTGGATGCAGAGGGTAGATTTCAGGGTGAACCAAAAAAGACTCTATTTGGCAAATACTGTGCAGCTCTTCTTCAATGTGACTCTTGTTGGGAGCCATTGTTGTTGCACTCCCTCCACTGTTACCTGGTCCCTGTCCTCCATTTGATGTGATTTTGAAGGAACTGAAGATAACAGTCAAGACTTTTATATTCATTTTTCTTTTCTCCCTTCTGCTATCCAGACAATGAATACTAGTTCATGTAACCTTAAGCAAAGGAATGCAGAAAATGAGAAAGTCACTATAAACACCCAGGGAAAAGATCCCTAATTTTCATTTCCTGCTGTTTCACTGCACAAAAATATTCCACAACAATGAACAACATAAAAAGCAAGCCAGTAGCTGAGTGTTGGTGGCTACTACCTGTAATCCTAGTAAAGCAGCTAATCCTATGGGAAAAAGAAGTAGACAGTTTGACAGGAAGGTGCCAGGAACAAGGTGTATCTTTCTCAAACTATGCCACCAATAGGCACTACCTTCCACAGTTCAACCACTTCCCCACTGACTATTTTAAAGTTGAAGGCTGAGCATTTTCAGATAAAGTATTAGATGATAAACTGTACTTAATTTTACTCAATTTCAACTCTTAGCACAGATGGCGTTCTATACCAATGAAAAAAATCCTTCACTTCCTTTGCAAAAACCAACTGCAAAGTATGCCTGTAAGTAGAAGCTAACTTCCACACTTCAACCACCTCTCAGTAGACTATTTTAAAGTTGAATTCATCAATGCATTTTGGCCAGCCAAAATTTCTAACTTTTATTGTGTTTGTGTGTGGTGCTGAGATTGGATCCAGGGTGTTTTGGTTGCTAAGCAAATGCTCTACCATTAAGCCACACATTCCTACCCTGTCAACTGATTTTTTGTTGTTGTTGTTCTTGTTTTTCTTTTTAAATATGCTCTGTTCATTGACAATTTGGTACACCAACAGAAAATATACAAAAGAATATGTGAATGCAGCCCATAAAAACTTCACTCCAGCCACCCAACTCAGCATATGGGAAGCAAAAGAAGGATTATGAGTTCACTATCATCCTGGCCTACTTAGGGAGATTCTATATCAAAAGAGGAAAAAAAAAAAAAAACCAGGAGTCTTTGCTTCATGTCCTAGGTGGGGACAGAAAATATTTCTCTTTCTTTTGCTAGCTAAAACCTTTATTGATACATCATACTGTCATATTAAAATAAATAAAAATAACAACAAAAGGAGCCATGCACAGCAGCTCATGCCTAAAAGTATTTGGTCTATTTGGATCATACACCTAAATGGAAAACTTAACTTCATAGTCTCAAAAGATATGGGAAATTATTTTACCTTGGCTACATAAAGGAATTCTGGTATGACAAAAATTCAAGATCCGTCAGACTTAGATACTGCAGGTTGCTCGCTGGGGTGAACCATGCCTGCTTTCGTACCTCACAGGAATGGAGATCACAAGGAAATATGTCAAGAGATCCTATCTCAAAATCAACCAACACAGGACTGATGGAATAGCTCAAGGGGAAAGAGTGGCTGTCTAGCAAACAGGAGGCCCTGAGTTCAAAACTCTGTGCTCCATCACTATGTTACATATCCCCAGACAGCCACAATGCAGAAGGCACAGCATAATCTGTCAGCCTGGTAGGCCTAGGAAGTGTATGTACTCTAAAGACAGAAGTACCAGCATGTGAGAGTGGGACCAGGAGTTTAAGGTTCAGTGGAAACAGGCTTTGATGAAAAGTCAGGGCAAGTAAAGTGACACTTGGATGGAGTTCACGTTCTTGCCATTCAAGCAACCTAAGAGATGGTACAGTAAAGGATGCCATCAACTTCTGGACTCAGTTATATTTTCTACACGTTGTTTTCTATCCAAAAAAAAAAATTCATAGCTTACATGCAGCTTCCTGCATGTAACACTCAGGTGTCTGTTACCTGAGTGAACAAGGCACATTAGGCTTGCCAAAGGACTGAACATGCCTTTGGTTAGAAATTTGTACATCTTTCCTTGCAAGAGGAAAGAAAAAGCTTTTGAAAAATCATTATTTCAAAGTCCAACTTTGTACATTATGGAAGTAAAATGTTCAAGAGGCTACAAGATTACCCGAGTTTTCAGCCATGTGCAAACAGTGCTTCTTTGTGCAGGATATTCAATAGTGCAGTGTCAGCCTACTGGAGGAAAAGCCAGGCTCATGGAAGGTTGCTTGTCTGGGAGAAAGCAAAACTACTAATGTTTAAAACTTTCTGAATTTATGTTTCCTCACAGAAAGCCTTATAGTTTAGTGACTCTCCAAGATAATGCAAATATATTTGATTTTGTTACTTTTTCAATAACATTTTGATTCTGGAAAAAAAAAAAGAAAACAAACTTGAATACAAAGACTTGGGGGAAATGCAGCCATAATATTAAAAGGAGTCAAAACTTCAATTTTTCCAGGCACACTGGTGGCACATGTGTGTAATCCTCGTGACTCAGGAGTCACACATCAGGGGGTGGGGCAGTTTAAAGCCAGACCTTTAAACAAATAGTTCATGAGACCTTATCTCAAAAATCCATGGGAACAGGGGAGAGAAATGACCCAAGCATTGTATGCATAAGAATAATTTAAAAAAAAATCCCATCACAGGAAAGAATGGGGATGGTGTCTCAAGAAGCGAGAACACCTGCCTAGCAAGCATGAGGACCTGAGTTCAAAACAACAACAAAAAATCCAAACAAACCAAAACTAGATAACCAGAAAAAAAAAAAAAAACACTTTAATTGGACAGGAAGGCAGACATCAGAAGGATCAGGGTTGGAAGCCAATCCAGAGAAACAGTTTGCCCAATGATATATCAAAACTCCCCACAAAACCCGCTTGATGTAATGGCTTAAGCATTAGAGGGCCTGCCTAGGAAGCATCAGGCCTTGACTTTAAGCCCCTGTCACACAGGGAAAAAAACAAAACCAAGTTGCTTCTCAGGGAAGTGAGTGCATCTCCTGTAACTAAACAGACAGACATCAGATGTTTGTAATTATATTCTTGTAGACTACTCAGAAAGAAAAACTATACAAGACTCAGGAAGGATAATTCAGTGTGCACATAAATCAAAGTTATACCTCTTATTTGGGAATGTCAAGATAAAAGAAGGAGAGGGATGGCACAAATCCTTAGAAAGAACTCGCTATCACCAAGATTTTCGGGCTAAACAGACATAAAATTCTACAATTTTAGTCTGGAGTCAGTGACTCATGCCTGTATTCCTAGCTACTCAGGAAGCAGAGATCAGGAGGATTTTGGCTGGAATCCAACCTGGACAGAAACCCTATCTGGAAAAAACCATCATAAGAAAAGGGCTGGCAAGGTAGATAGGTAGTAAGAGCTCCTGCTTAGAAAGCTTGTGGCCCTGAGTTCAAACCCTAGTACCACCAAAAAAAAAAAAATTTCTGTATTTTCCAAATTATACCTTTAAACATCCAAACAATCTACATGTCCAAGTTATAACAAATTTCTAAAAACACTGAAGAGCTTTGTCCTAAGTAAGCTATAGACTGTCTAATATTATAGAAGAGATCCTAGGTTCAGCAAGAAACAACACAAAATATGGTTCAAAAGCATGTGAAAATGAATACAAATTTAAAAGGAACAAACACGTCAAAGGTTAAAAGTGACAACACTGTATAAGAAGACAAATAAACATGGTTACCTTAGCTGATTGTAAAAAACCAATTAATCCAACTCTTTTTAAGTCTCTCACTAGTACCAGAACTGGGATCTCTGACCCACCCTTGGCCTGAACAGGCACACCATTTCTCCTCTACCATCACCTTAAGGACAGACTGACTTCACGGGGAAAGCAGTTTTGACAGACAAAATCACCACTGGCTGAAAAATCCACAAGAGACACACAATAAACTGACAGTGACCTCTAGTCTTTACATCCTTTCTTGCCCTGGTTTTAACCTCTCTGTGACATATTCTGTCACCCAGTTGTGTGAATCTCCTGCCCTGTTGTTTTGTCACTCAGTTCTAAAGGCTGTACAAAGGCGAGTCCCAAAGTTCATGAGGATGTAAATAAAGTTGTCACTTTTATGTAGGACTTCCTCACAAATTATTGCAGTGGTTCCAAAGGGATCTTGTAAGGCAGTGTCCTCTTTAGCTTTGACTTGCTTTTAATGATCCTCCCTGAGGAAACTCCAGTGACCCCCTAAATGCTTTCTTCTGTCACACAAAAAGCTGCCACACTCCATTTAAATACTGTCCCTTCTCCCCATTCATTTCTTGCTTCTTAAACCAGGTCCAGAATCAGTAAGAATGGTAACCATGACATCACAGTGGTTTGCACTTCAGGTTCCCTTCTCGGGATCCTGAAGATTCAGGAAAATTGGCGCCATGGAGAGACATGGGGATCCCACCCACAGCGGCCACGCACAGGAGCCGAGCACAAGGCAGGAGCAGCAAAGACTGCTGTCACTGTGGTGTTTGTGCCATGTGGGGTCAAGCTGTCCACAGGGCACCAGGTGTCCAAGGAAGCCACTCACATCACAAAGGGGACAGACGCTGGATCTGCTCAGGCCCAACCCCATCCTTGGGCCCAGAGTAGTGAAGGCTGCTGCTTCCAGCGGTTCCCCGGCCACTGCTCTGTGACCCCAGCTGAAATCTTACCATTTCCCGGTTTCCGGTATCATCCCTAGGCTGCTGCAGTGAGAGGACACAGAAACATCCAAGCCTGGGACACCTGGAGCTTCTCAAAACAAAACCGGACTTTCAAATATGGTAGGTACTAAGTGGAGTGTCCTGCTCTGGGAAGTGAAGAGCTCCACATATTCAGGGTCTCCATTGCACAGCTCCTACCTAAGATCAGCGTTCCTCATTGGTTAGTGATAAAGGCCCCTCCCTACTCAAGCCTGAGTGACAGAAGACCCATCAGCTACCTGACTCTGCCAAATGCAAGTGAAAGATTCCAATCGCCATTCCCCAGTCCAGGCTTCCTCCACTTGGGCCAAACTGACCCAGCCTTGGGTCTAATTGCATTGACCCGAACCATTCTGGACAATCCATACCAAGCACCTGCTTCTTACCACGTCTCACTGATGTATTATGTAGTCATTTGAAATCAGTACTTTTATTATTTCGTGGGGCTCTAGGTATAGAATAAGTACTGAAGTGCCTGCCTGAAAAAAATTGTGCTATCATAAATTAATCGGGCATTAATTTAGCAATGGAGGAATGAATTACATGTCTTTCT